ACTTTAGTAGCACAGAAGCACTGGATTTTAAAGGAGAATCTGGCTCACTATGCACAGGGTTCTTTGATATCAATAGCACAAGTTTGTTAGTTGTGCTGGGGCACTGAGTTATAAATTCAAAGTTCTCATGAAGTTATAAATTCAAGTACAACTCCAGGACTGAAGCCAAGAATGGGTTGATTGAGAAAACTGAAGCTAAATACAGTTTATTTTACTTTTCCTCTTGCCTGACAAGTAGTTGTAGCTACAATAATTAACAGAAAACAATAAACTCTAAAAATTTACGTAAAGCAGTCGCATATTTTTTTCCTGGGGAAGAAGAAAAAGGAGAAAGAAGTTAGAAGTGACCTACATTCTTATTCAAGTGCCAAAGATTAAATTTAGGTGCAGGAAACATAGGCCAGAAAACCCAATTATTTTGGTACATGGGATTATTAAAAATAATTAACATTTTACTCAGGCCATTTTCAAAATAAGTTTAATAGATAAAAGTTATTAACTGAGCTTTATTAAAGGATAATTACAAAATAAAACTTTTTTTAAAGGACTACAGAATGCCTCTAGTCTAATCAGAGTAGAGACTATAACCATGAAAAACAATTTGTCCCCGTCTACCAGTTTGTTGTTGGAAAGTGTTGTTACATAAGAAAAAATGTCTCTTGACTATTCAACGAGCAGTCATTTCTAAGATATTAACCTCTCTTCAAACAATATATCGTTCTGTGATTTTTTAAGTATATGTGTGTGTGTGTGTGTGTGTGTATGTGTGTGTGTGTATAGACAGACAGACAGACAGATATAAACATAACTTAACCATGGCATCTTCTAAAGTAGATTGGCATCAAAAAGCCACATAAAATGAACAGTGAAAAAGGAACATCTTAAATGACTAACCTCACTAAAAAACTTGCATGATTTTTGGAATAATTAAGACCTGCTGTTGCCAAACCAGATTATATAATTAGTGCCATTGGTTGCCTTTTTTCTAGCTGAGTGAACTTAACTACAGACAGCTCCTCATTAGAGCTGTATTTTTAGACTTTAAGCCAGGAGTAGAATTCTTCATAACCATCCCAGCTTCTTGGAAATAAAAGACTTTTCACACTCCTGGGTTTTAGTACTTGGTATTAAGAATGAAATGTGTGTGCATGTTAATACCACAGAGTTGAAGAATGAAGGTATCTGGACAATATAAGTGCTGAGTTAAAAATATTTTCTCAGTGTTGGTACCAAAATTGAGAATCTACAGACATCAGCTTCTTGCTGTTGTATATAAATTAATCATGTAACCCAGAATCATCACTGAGGAAGAAAAAAATTAACAGTTAAACTGACATACTTAAAAACAGAGTGTGCTGTAACTCTGAAGTTGTTCCAGATCCTTATAAGCAGGGATCCTGGTTTTCTCTGATTTAAAATCAATCCCCAATTTTTGGTTAAAAAAAGTAACCCCAAATCCACATTTTTCAGTGATTTAAATGAAATACCACTAAGATATAGATATAGATAGTGATGTTTAATCTTAATCATGGAAAAATGTGGATTTGGGGTTACTTTTTTAACTGAAAATTAGGGATTTTTTAAAATCAGAGAAAACCAGGATCCCTGCTTATAAGCAAGCATTCTCCTACCAGGTTAATAAGGTGGGAAATCTGGTAATTTAAGGGTTAAATAAATTCATCCTCTACAAGTATCTGAATTAATAAAGTAAATTAATTGGAGCAGAAACATGTTCTGCCTTTTATTTTATTGCCCCATGTTTCTTGGGTTTATCTAAGGATATGGGTTTGTGCCACTGATATCTGAGCCCTCTGCTGTTCACAAGTACAGCCACTGGAATAGAACACGAACAGAGATGCTTAGAGGATATTGCACTGTATAGCACTTTCAGAAACACAAGGGCTAAAGAAGCAGTAGGGTCAAGCACAACTATAGGATATAAGGAAAGATGAGCAATGGAATAAGAGGCAGCAGGGGATCTAGAAAAAACAAAATTGAGAAGATGACTAAAATAAAGAACAGATGGTGAATGAAGGGACAAGTAGCAGATGCTGAAAATTGGGTGTTGGACTGGGGCAGTTGAGGTCTACATTAGGTTCTCAAAATAATTCAAAGATTTTGGAAATTTGTTCAACATCTGAGATACACAGGCATCTTGCCTTATCTTGGAAATAGCCTGGATACCCCATGCTAGGGAATTTAAAGTACAGAGAATAATTGAACACACAAACATGCCATATATAAACTTGATCTGCACTTCACTATATAAAATGGAAGCAAAATTCTATAGCACTGAGAGCTACCTCTAAATTCTGATTTCCAATATACTCTCATTGCATACCAGTGCTTTAAGGGTTGGTAAGCACACCCCTACTCCAAGTCCTGACTCTTTAACTACAAGGCAGGAAAGGATTAATCCCAATTCATCATAGAATAAAGGAATTCTAGAGAGATGAGAGACCCCAGACACTGTGAAGGTCATTGCAAGGCATGTGGGGAAGGAATGTCAGAGAATATAAAGAAAAATTGTAGGCAGAAATCAGGAATGAGGCTAGATATAAGGTATATAATTAAAGGAGCCTAGGAGGGATATTGGACATTTGGGATTGAGTATTTCCTAATTAAGGAGTTTGGGAGGGGCTGGAAAAGCCCAAAATGAGATGAGGATGACACGAACACATAAAGGAGATGTGTTAAAGCAACTGGTGAAGGTGCTGAGAGGAAATGGAAACAGATAATTTAGGAAATAACTCTTGAAACAGGGAGACATATGATTTTGACTGAAGGGGAAAATAATCTTTCCATGGTTACTGGCCCAAGTTCCCCTACCTAAAGCACTATTGAGGAAACTCTCTCAAGCCGAGTGGAGAAACTGGGCATCTAGCACAGAGTAGGAGCTTGGGGAGAGACAAAGATAAACCAGTAAAGCCCCACATCAATAGGATTGAAGACCGTAGTTCAAGAGAACTCGGGAAATATTTTGCTTTTTCTTAAGGATTCTTGTTACTTGGATTAGGAGGAAATATGGTTTAACTAGAAGCCCAAAGCACTAAAATAACCAGTTCACCAAAAAACTCAGCACCTAAGGAGAAGAAAGACTAAAGCCTGTGCAACCTGATTTTCAAATGAGGTAAGACTACATTTTTCAGCAAGTTGCTTTTCTTATTAGGTAATGTATTTTAAATTTAATCACCACAAGGGGCATGTTTCACATTCAGAATAACCCTTATGGAAAAAAGATCCTTGTGGCTATATCCAGACTAAAAATTTACTGTATATAGTAGTGGTGCCCTCCAACATGCTTCACTGCTCTATCCATAGTATTCCCCTATCTGGAATACTGCAGCTGCTGTGTATGACACCTGATATAAGTTAATTGGTAGGCCTGTGCAAATAAGGAAGTATTCAATTTGGATTTGGCTGACTTGGAGGACAGTGATTCGATTCTGAGATACGGATCACTGTCCTGAATTGATTTGGCCGAATAAACTTCAGAAGATTTGGCGCTGATTCAGAGGGATTTGGTGATTTGGATCAGCCGGGGAGAGGCAGGCACAGTTAGGAGCCTGCAGGTTCTCCTGCAGCTCCTCTGGCTATGCCTGCCTCCCCCAGGTGGGGGAAGCCACGGGAGAAGTCCCCATGGCTGCCCGGCCCCCTCCG